GGGCATAAGAATTGTATTTTTCTACAAATAATTTCATAATTGTTCATTTTATTTATGTTGTACAAATTTTTGGTGATTAAAGGTTTGATAACTAAATGGAGAGAATTAGAAAAAAAAGGACTCAAATATAAAGAGCCAGAAAGATGAGGGTCCAAGGATCAAATTTAAAAGTTTGAAGGCTTAAGTGAGATTTTCTCCAAAGATAAAAAATATGATGATCAACTTGCACGGAATCCAGGAGTCAAGGACCAGGACTGTCATTCTGCCATTAATCAAAATTGCACAGAAGGCCAAAAACCCGACGTGGTGCATGAGGTTGGCGCTCCACTCAAGGTGCCGGTGCTTTGTTAAGGGTGTCGACCTCTTATGCAACTTTTAGCAACGCCATATCTCTCTTAATTATTTTGATGCGGATCCCACAACCATTCTAATTAGGGTTTCTAAAACTTTATAGATACTCATCCAAGTTCAGAATTGAAGAGGCTGAAGAGGCTATTCCTAGGCTTCTATTTTCTTCTCTAAGGCTAAAAAATTATGTTAAATTACAACTAAACTTTCAACAACACTAAAGAGGATTTTAATTGAGGAATTTAATTTGTTATTTTATTTTGATTCTTTCATAAGATTTATTATTTAATTTTATTTTTAAGAGATTATTAATTATTTTCATTTTTGAAAACCCTAAAAATTATATTTATCAAATTTCATATAAGATTAGTCATGCTCTTTTTACGAATTTGTTTTACAGATTGATCATTTACTGTAATATTATCAATTAGATATATTGTTGCTCTTGAATAACTCATAAGGATGGATCGGTTTATTCTTCATTAAAATTAATTTTTCTCAAAATAAATACATTAGTTATTATTATTAGTCTTCAGAGTTAAATCTTTCAATTGTTTGTTTGAAATGTGAAATATGCAGCTGAATAATAAATAAGAATCAAAATTTATAACAATTGAGTAAATCAATTAAATGAATTCTAAAGTCTTGTTCATCATAATATTGTTTTCAATCATCTATAATTATCATTTTTTATTTAAATATTTTTATTCTTAATTTTAAAAATCATCTTTTAATTTAATTTTTCATTTTTCATTGTGACAATTCTTTTTATTGGTTTAATATAACTTCCCTGTAGATTTAACACCTAAAACTAGACTACAACAACCACTGAGCCTAAGGGTATTAATTTTGGGACGAGACATCAAGGCACTTTGGGGGCTTCTTCCATTTGAGATGGTTGAAAATAGGTCTCTTTGGCACCGGTATGCACTTGACGATCCAGCCAATGGGCCAAGATACAACAGCCATGGCTATGCAAGCACCCCATTGTCCCAAATTCAACCTCTCTGTACCTGCAAACCGCTTTAGAAACTCCACCATTAGCACTTGAAGAACAATGGTCATCCCGACGATCCCTAAAAACAGCTTGTTCTTATGAATACCCTTGAACACGTTCTTCTTCTCCAGCTTCCTTGCGTTGAATTCATTGAAAACTTGGCAGAGCACAAAAGTGTTGAAAATCAAGGTGTCATTCACTGCTTCAGTCACATTGAAGATTGACTCTCCTCTGAATTGCAGGATCAGGAGTACTGCAACCTGGTAAAAAGCTTGAGCTAGGAGGTTCCTCCACATGATATTGGTAATTAGTGGCTCTGTACGACCAACAGGTTGCCTCTTCATAAGCCCCATGGTAGGCTTCTCTGTAGCCAGAGCCAGAGAAGCCAAGTTGTCCATGATCAAGTTCACCCACAAAAGCTGAACGGCTGTTAAAGGAACTTCTCCTGCAGAAATAGTTGCCACGGAGTTGATCACCAGAGCAGTAACATTTACCGTCAACTGGAATTGAATGAATTTCTGTATGTTAGTGTAAACACATCTGCCCCACTTCAGAACGGTGGCCACAGAAGCAAAATTGTCATCCAAGATGACAATATCAGAACTCGCTTTTGCAACCTCTGTCCCTTGAATCCCCATTGACAATCCAATGTCAGCTTTTTTGAGTGCTAGCGTATCATTGGTTGTATCCCCAGTGACTGCAACTACATGCCCTTTCTGTTTCAAGCATTGCACCATGAGAAGTTTGTCAGAAGGAGACGATCTTGCCATAACGCAAATCTTCTCCACCTTCTCCATCCTCTCTTTTGGTGTATATTTCCGGAATTCCTCACCTTCCACAACAGCTCCACTGTCCATGTCCTGACCCGACCGAAGAATCCCACATTCAGTGGCAATAGCTCTTGCTGTGAAGACATCGTCGCCAGTAATCATCTTAATGTTCACACCGGCATGCTGGCAGTCCTCCACTACCGTCTTCACCCCTGGCCGACATGGATCCTTGATACCTACAAGTCCCAACAAGGTCAAATTTTCCTCTTTAAGCTTTTTCTTCTCTTTCACATTTTCTTCCTCTGTTTCTGCAACTTGTTTGTGAGCAAAAGCAATGCACTGGAGACTGCTTGCCGCCATTCCTTGAATAATTTTCTTGAATTCCATCCTTTCTTCTCCATTAAGATCTTTCATAACTCCTGAAGCATCATAGCAGCTTGAGCACATAGCCAGAATCATTTCTGCTGCTCCTTTCCAATGAACGTGAACTGTGTCATCTTCTTTCTTCTTGATCAGAACTCCGCCCCGTTTCGTCTGAGAATTGAAAGCTTCCACAAAGAGCATTGCGAAATTCCTCTTTATTTCCTCCTGATCCATCTTCATGTCTTGAACAGCCCAAGAAAGGATTGCTTTTTCCGTTGGACTACCAGAGAATTCGAATTCCGACCCTGAAGAACCTCTATAAACACTCCCGGTTGTGTTCAGAGCAACTCCTTGATGAATCAAGTTAACAACAAATGAAGAAATGGAAGAAAAAGTTCCATCCATGGCTTCCTTTCCCTGCCAAAACTTTGTCACCGTCATCCGATTGAGTGTAAGAGTACCCGTTTTGTCAGTGCAAATTGTGGTGGCAGACCCCATAGTTTCACAGGCGAAATGCTTCCGGACCATCACCTGATCTGCCATCATTTTCTTCATTGAATACGCCAGAGTCAGCCCAACGATAGACGACAGCTCTTCTGGGATAGCAACAACGACGATGGTGAAAGCAGCAGCAATTATCCCCGCCACAGTATCTATTTTATCATCGGCTTTTTTTCTGCTTCCATTGATCTCTCTGTTTCCTTTCTCATCGGTTGTATTTCTGGTGAAGTAACCGACCAACAACACTATAAGAACCATGAAAGCCACTGCCACACAGACTTTACGCATTGCAGACGTTAGCTTGTTTAACCGGACTTGCAACAGCGTCTGCTCGTTGTTGTCGCCCGTCACGTGGCTCATCATCTGGCCCCAGGTCGTGTTCATTCCAACGGAAGTGACAAGCATCCGAGCATCCCCATCAACCACCTTGGTACCAGAAATCAAGAACGGATTTTTCTTTGAATTCACCTCAACATGGTCGCTTTCCCCTGTCATGCTGGATTCGTCTATCTGCAGAGAATGTCCATCCAAGAACAACCCATCAGCTGGCACCTGATCCCCAATTTTTAGGCAAACAATATCTCCGACTACGATATCAAATATTGAAATCTGTTGCCGCCTGCCGCCTCTGATGACATCAATTTGGATGTTGTTGCTGACTTCAGGCAATATTTCTAACTGTTTGTTCTGTATGTACTTGCTGAAGGAAGAGATGGCAATGACCAGAAAAACAGCCATGAAAATACCCCCACCGTCACCACAACTGTCTGTCAAACCGTGCTTCTTTATGCCGAGCCCAATTAGAGAAAGTGCGGCGCAGCCGAAATCCTTGAAAGCTTGCACCATAAAATGGAAGAAGCTACTCCTGGATGGCGGTTTTTTGTACGTGTTAGAACCAAATGCCTCACGTCGGCGAGCAATGTCCTCAGCACCGCCTTTTGTTCCATTATCCA